CAGTGAGCCACAGGGCCGCAGACCTCCCTGAGCACACCTGTGGGTGACCCCACCCTCCTCACCCGGGCCACAGTGCCCAGGAGCCTCAGCTGCCAAGTCCAGGGGTCAAACTGCAGCAGCAACACCAATGAGGAGAGCCATGCATAAGCTGGGGGTAAGGGGGGTCCTAACTGGGAACAGAGTTTCCCCCTCAGAACCTACCTGCTGGCACTGAAGACGGTTTTAAAAGCACACCCGTGGGCCAGCAGGTGGTGTAGTGGTTAAGGCACTGCATCTCACATGGCCCACTGTGCAGTTCAAGTCCTAAAACCGGTGGCTTAAAAATCATGTGGGGGGCAGGGGGACAGCAAATGGTGTAGTGGTTACATCACTGGACTCCCACATGGCTGACCACAGTTTGAGTCCCAAACCCAATGCCTTAAACCCATGCCAGGTGCATGTGCATGTGTGCCCAGGATCCTAGGAGTAGAATGAAGGAGAAGGGACTGTGGTATAGTCATCCCCCTGGGGGTGATTTCTCACTTTCTGTCTCTCTCTCGTCAAATGAGAAAAAGATAATAATAAATTAAATTACTAATTCTTTTTTTAAAAAAATAATTATCTCTCTCTCTGGTGGGTGTACTCACCGTTAAGACAAAAAAAATGTTAAAAAACCTCTACAAAAAAAACCCTTCAAAAAATTATGCTGGGTTGGGGCTAGCAGGTGGCATGGTGGTTAAGGTGCTGGATTCCCACCTGACTGACTATGGTTCAAGTCCCAGTCCTGGCACCTGGCAGCTTGCTTTCTCACTTTCTGTCTCTCTCTCGTCAAATGAGAAAAAGATAATAATAAATTAAATTACTAATTCTTTTTTTAAAAAAATAATTATACTGGCATGTGTACATGCATGCCCAAAATCCTAAGAGGAAACTGGTCATTCCCCAGGGGGCTGGTTTCTCTCTCTCTCTCTAGTGCACATGCCCTACTGCAAAAAATAAGCATACCCCCAAGGTAACAACGATGACGAGACTAACCGACATCGTGTGTCTCCTGACAGGATACACTGAGAAAGATAGGACATCTCTTCTGAGGCGTTCCCACCAAAAATGCATGACTATGATCTAATCATGAGGAAACATCAGACAGCCCCACGCCGCCAGTACAAGGGCGCATCTGCCAAACCAAACTGAACAAAAGGCCAGTGTCACGGGGGACCAAGAAATAACGAGCCGCTGTCCCAACTCAAGGAGTCTGAAGAGACTAACGTCCAAGTGTGGTGTGCCACCCTCCATCGAAGAAGGAAA